GGAGGAAGGGAGGTAGGGAGGAAGGGAGGAAGGGAGGAAGGGAGGAAGGGAGGAAGGGAGGAAGGGAGGAAGGGAGGAAGGGAGGAAGGGAGGAAGGGAGGAAGGGAGGAAGAGAGGAAGGGAGGAAGGGAGGAAGGGAGGAAGGGAGGAAGGGAGGAAGGGAGGAAGGGAGGAAGGGAGGAAGGGAGGAAGGGAGGAAGGGAGGAAGGGATGAAGGGAGGAAGGGAGGAAGGGAGGAAGGGAGGAAGGGAGGAAGGGAGGAAGGGAGGAAGGGAGGAAGGGAGGAAGGGAGGAAGGGAGGAAGGGCGGAAGGGAGGAAGGGAGGAAGGGAGGAAGGGAGGAAGGGAGGAAGGGAGGAAGGGAGGAAGGGAGGAAGGGAGGAAGGGAGGAAGGGAGGAAGGGCGGAAGGGAGGGAGGAGGAGGAGGAGGAGGGGGATTGGGGGAGGGGGGGGGTAGGGGGAGGGGGGAGGAGGGCGGAGGGGTGAGGAGGAGGAGGAGGAGGAGGAGGAGGCGGAGGAGGAGAGGAGGAGGAGGAGGAGGAGGAGGAGGTGTAGGAGGGTGATGAGGGGGACTATAGGGAGGTTGCCGAGGAGCGGAGGAGGGGGAGGGGGAAGGCACAGGAGTGAGGGAGCAAGGGGAGAAGAAGGACAAGGACGAGGAAGAGGAATATCTGCTGATTGCTGTAGTACTTGAGCTCAGACGCGCGCCAAGAGCGCGCGTAGCTCTAGTGAGCAGACGTCAGCGAAACATCCTATCCTATCCCACCTCCTCCCCAGCGGTCTCCACGGGCCCTCTCTCAGGCCGCCATGTGGTCTTCCGGAGGCCTCTGGCGCTGCCCCTGGCGCGCTCCGCGCGCCAGGGAGGGGGGCCCAGCGCAGACCCAAGAAATCCACGCGGAGACCTAAAAGTGTGTCTCATTGGCGTTCTTTCTTTTTTCTATCCCTACTTGAAGCATGGAGTGCCTTTTCCTTCTCCTTTCTCTTCAGGGGGTCGGCGGAAGCCCAGCCTACTTCCAACGCCTTCCTGCTTCATGTTTCTGCCCACTTTGCCGACCGACGGGCATGGCAGGTCCATGTCGTGTCGACAACAGCGACCTTGGCGCGGGCGGTCAAGGTTGAGCGCCGCCAGTGGCCTCGAATCGGCCAACATGGAACGATCATCATCTGGAGGTCGAAAAGCCGCCGATCGTTCAAGGCGGAACGATCCGCGCGGTGTCGCAGACCAGCGACGGGGTCGTTGGGTCCTCGTTTTGAAGAAACAGCGCCCCGCGTTCCTCACATCACCTCACCTCCCGCGCTCCTCCCCCTCCTCCCTCCTCCCTCCTCCTTGCCTCTGCCCTCCGCATGTTTCTGTCTCGGCACACCCATTGCAGAGTTTCGTGGCCCCATAGGGAGCTCTACTGAAGGCCCCCGTGGCAGTGTTCGCATGGCGCCACCGCGCCCATTTCGGCACACCCCTCACACTTTTCATGGCCCCACAGGGAGCTCCACCGAAGGCCCCAGTGGCAGGGTTCGCATGGCGCCACCGCACCCATGTCGGCACACCCCTCACACGTTTCGTGGCCCCGTAGGGAGTTCCACCGAAGGCCCCAGTGGCAGGGTTCGCATGGCGCCATCGCACCCATGTCGGCACACCCCTCACACGTTTCGTGTCCCCATGGGGCTCTCCACCGAAGGCCCCAGTGGCAGGGTTCGCATGGCGCCACCGCACCCATTTCGGCACACCCCTCACACGTTTCGTGGCCCCACAGGGAGCTCCACCGAAGACCCCAGTGGCAGGGTTCGTATGGCGCCACCGCGCCCATGTCGGCACACCCCTCACACGTTTCGTGGCCCCGTGGGGCTCTCCACCGAAGGCCCTAGTGGCAGGGTTCGCATGGCGCCACCCATGTCGGCACACCCCTCACACGTTTCGTGGCCCCACAGGGAGCTCCACCGAAGGCCCCAGTGGCAGGGTTCGCATGGCGCCACCGCACCCGTTTCGGCACAGACCTCACACTTTTCGTGACCCCACATGGAGCTCCACCGTAGGCCCTAGTGGCAGGGTTCGCATGGCGCCACCGCACCCATTTCGGCACACCCCTCACACGTTTCGTGGCCCCACAGGGAGCTCCACCGAAGGCGGGGCTCACAGCTGCGGTTTTTACACTTGCATATGGTTGGGTCCTCCGCCAGGATCATTTTACACTCGAGCGTGCCATTTTGTGTGGTGACTCACGGAGCTTGATTCGGCCAGTCTCGTGCAAGTCTAATCGCCGTGAGCAGTTTAACTACTGGGTGACGCTGTGCTCTCGGATAGCGTTGGCATTGGTGTGGGGAGGAAAACAAGATGACCGACGCAACAAAAACGGTGGTGTCTGCGCTGGCATTGGCGCGAAAGCTACCCGCGTCAGGGCGCGCGTGAGCGCCCTCGCTTCCACTGTGGCATGCCGCGCTGGCGGCCCGCGCAAGCCGCCGCGAAAGGTCGCTGCGTCATCTCGCCTGAGTGCTGTGTTTGATCGTAGCTCAGATAGCTATGCTACATGTTCGGGTCGGGCGCACGCCTCCAGGGACGACGCACAGTGCCGGCGCCTCCCGCGCCGTTTTGGCTGCGCCGTGCCCCGTTCCGCTCTGTGACGGGCGCTGTTCGCTCCGCTGCTCTTTCCTTCGCTGCGGCGCGGCCCGCCCTAGCTTGCTCGGCGCTCGACTTGCCTTCGCGCGCCCCCGTGCCAAAAACAACACAGTACCAGCGCGCCCTCCTGCGTGCCCTCGGGGGTCGGGACTTCTGATAGCAGACCAAGTTCAGGCGTCTAGATACTGTAAGCTAGCGCCCCTGATGATTTCCCTTCCGATTGCTGTGCCAAACAGCTCTGTAGCTCATCTGAAGCTCGAGTTCAGTCAAGAAAATCATCACCATCTCTAAAAAAAGTAGCAGAGTACGAATAGTTTTTCGGATCCAGCCAAGATAGCAGACCGAGTACGGACCCTCCTGGCCCAGGCCGCCGAGGCCGCCGCAGAGGGAGGGCGTGCACGCCGTGCCGGGGGCCCAGCGCCCGCTGCAGGTCCTGACGCAGCAGGCGTGCGCGCTGCCCCGGCTGCCTGGCTTCTTCCTCAAGGAGCCCGCCCGCCGCGGGCGCCCGGCCTCCAGTCGGGGGCGGCCACAAGGGGGGTGATGACCAGGGGGGGGTGTGTATATCATGGCGTCGGCCATGGTATTTCCCCAGATTTCATGGCGCCTCTTCTAATCTCATTGCGTCCCTGGCCCCCCCCCCCCTTGGGCCGCGCACGTGCCGCCGGCCATGATTTGCACCCCCCCCCCCCTCTTGGACGCCCCCCCTCCTTGGCCGCCCCCAGCCAACCTCCAGAGGCTCGACTGCACGAAAGAGTGCCCCCTCGCCGGAGTGACCTTCGGTGCGGGCTCATCGGGGCCCCCCCGATCGTTGAGCGCGATGCGATAGCGGCTGCTTTCGCGCGCTTGGATTTGGTCCCCTTGCGCCCCCTTCGCCCGCGCACCAATGGTCACTCTTGCCCAGGGTCACTCTTGCGTGTGCCCGAAAGGCCCAGGCCCCTTCGAGTCATGTGCAAAGATCACGATGGGAGGCTCTTCTCTATTTTCGGCCTCTGGGGGCCCTTACTTGGCCTCGGGACCGTTAACAAAACTGGTCAGGGCGAAATCCTGGTCCTGAGGAGTGGGTCGAGATTTTTTTTGGGTCGATTGTCATGAACAAATCATGACGTCGAGGGTCTTGGGACTCGAAGATGCGGATCCTGACGATCTCTGCATGCTGAAAACCGCATAAATCTAAATTCTAGACGCTTCGCGTATCCCCACCAGCCCGTCCAGAAACGACGCCCAGGCGAGTAGAGGGTCGTCCTGAGGGGCTTTTCGGCGTCTTGGGTGCCTCGGGGGGGCCTCTGTGGGCCGTTCGGGATCCTCTTTGGGGCCTCCTGGGGGCCTCTTGGGGCCTCTTGGGGCCATCTTGGGGCCTTTGGGGGCCTCCTGGGCGCTTCTTGGGGCCATCTTTGCCCCCTCAGGAGGCCAACATGGGGCCAAAATCTTAGTAAAATCAATGATTTTGGCTTCCTCGCCGAGGCCGTTTTGGACGCTCTGACCGCTCGCGGCCCCCCCCGTCCAGGTCCACGGGGAGGGGGTAGGGGGAGGGGTAAACCCCTCCCCGAAGGGAAAGAGGGAGGGGTGGAAGAGGAAACGCCTTAAACCACCGACGCCCAGAGGGCTGGTGGGATTGCCTCGATCAGGGAAGTGGACAGCACACAGAGGAAGCCAGTATGAGACATCTTGGGATTTCTTGAGCCATCTTGGAGGTCATTTTGGGCTCTCCGAGGCGCTCTTGGAGTCATCTTAATCAGTGCCCCCCCCCAAGAGGCCAACATGTGGCTAAAACCTTAGTGCAAACAATGGTTTGACATTATCGCCGAGGCCTCTGGGAGCACCTTGGGTGCCTCTGGGGGGTCTCTTGGGGCCTCTTGGGGGTCTCTTGGGGGCCTCCTGGGGGCCTCTTGGGGGGCCTCTTGGGGCCATCTTGGGGCCATCCTGCGGCCTCTTGGGGCATCCTGGGGGCCTCTTGCGGCCATCGTGGAGGAAATCGATCAAAGAAGAGGGGAGCTTTAATTAGCGCTGCCCCCTCAGAAGGCCAATGGGGCCCAAACCATAGTAAAATCAATGATTTTGGCTTCCTCGCCGAGGCCGTTTTGGACGCTCTGACCGCTCGCGGCCCCCCCCGTCCAGGTCAGTGGGGAGGGGGTTGGGGGGGGGGTAAACCCCTCCCCGAAGGGGAAGAGGGAGGGGTGGAAGAGGAAACGCCCTAAACCACCGACGCCCAGAGGGCTGGTGGGATTTCCGGACGCGCGGACTTCTTGGATTGGCGCTGGGCAACCCTGGCGGTCCAATCCGCAGCACAGACAGCCCCCTCCAGGTAGTCCTGGCTGGCCCCAACTGGTCCCCCGAGTCGTAGTCACAGCTGGCTTTGCCCCACCGAGTAGTCCCAGTTGGCCTCGCCAGGCCCCCCAAGCAGCCCTGGCCGGCCTCAACATTCTGGCGCGGCTTCCAGCGGCGCCTCTTGGGCGCTTTGCGCCCCTGGCTTTGGGTTTTGGGACCGCTCACGGCTACTCGGGGGGCCTGTCGAGGCCAGCTGGGGTTACTTGTCTGTGCGCAAACCGAAGCCTCGCCAATCGAATCTGACCTTCCCTGCATGCTGTGGGAAGTGAACAACGGCACAGACACAAAACTTCGGCGCTCCGCGCGGACTTCTTGGATCGGCGCTGGGCCCCGTGGCGGCGCCTTCAGCTCGGTCCCTGGCGCGCGCTCCGGGGTGGCTCGGCGCAGATCCACGACATCCGCGCGGACTCCCGGAAGGTGATCGTTTTTTATTCATTGTTTTGCCGATCGGCGCAGGCCCTCGCACCCCCCCTTCTCCGCCCCCCCATTGAGCAGATCTTGGCTGTTTCTGGCGCCTGTTTCAGGCAGGTGGAGTCTCCCCCATAAGGGGCGCCTTGTTGCAAACGGTCGCGCTGAGCAGAGGTCTGGAGCCAGACTCCCTCCCCCTCCCCCCCCTTCCGCCCAATGCCGAAACGCCGAATAATCATGGCGCCAACATCGCAGAGCGGATTTCGTTCGGAAGCGATAGTATGGGCCCGGAGTGTTCTGGAGAATTTCGTTCCGGACTTCGAGGTGAATTTCGTGTTTTTTTTGGGGGGCCAGGAACGAGGACTAAAAAAAATCCACGCGAAATTTACTTTGTTTTTCACTCGCCGTTGCGGGGTCTTGCATTGACAGAAATCCACGCAAAAATCCGCTGCAGCACCTCTGCAAGGTCGGTGCAATGACGAATAAGAAAACGTTCACAAGTTTATGTCCGTGTGCTTCTTTCTTTTGTGTTCGGCCTCCAGAGGCTGGTTTCGGCCCCAGTACCAATTATACACCAACACCGATCCTGGCCAGGATCACCCTGGGCCCAGGATCGGTGTATACGCTCTCTTGCCTGGGGCAGGAAGGCATATACACCGATCCTGGGCCCAGGATTGGCCTGGCCAAGATCGGTGTAGGTGTATAGTCGGCGCCCTCCTATCCAGAGGCTGGTTTCGGCCCCAGGCCTGTCAGCAAAAAAACGCTTCAGGACGAGAGAAGCCCCGGGCCCCCTCAGGAGGCCCCAAGGAGGCCCCACGGAGGCCTGTCGAGGGGCCCCAGAACCCCCCCAGGAGACCCAGCAAGATGGCCCAATCCTCCTCCTCCTCCTCTCCTAATTACCCCTCCTCCTCCTCCTCCTCCTCCTCCTCCTCCTCCTCCTCCTCCTCCTCCTCCTCCTCCTCCAAGAGGCCTCCAAGCTGCATCCGAGAGGCTTCAAGACGGGCCCCGAGAGGCCCCCGAGAGGTCCCCGAGAGGCCGGTCCCAGCGAGAGGGTCGATGGGGTCCGGGGCTCCAGGGCTCGAAGAGCAGTGGGTCGTCGGAGGTCCGCGGGCCTCGCGTCGCGCAGGGTTCCCCGCAGATCCGGCGGCCTTCGGAAGCGAGCACGATGTTTTTTCTCCTCGCCCAGGCGTCCTCGCCTCAGGTTTAAGTCGGGCCTGTCCCTCTACAGGTGGAATATTCAAAAATAGTCAAAAAATAGTCAGGTGACGATTTGTTTGACTATTTTTGAGCATTTTGAGGGTATTTTTCTAAACACTATTTTCTATTTGTCGTCCAAAATCCGCCTGTAGGGGGACATGCCCGACCTGACCTTAGGTAGGGCCCCGGGGTCCTTCACAGATCGATGCATCCCAGAAAACGCTTCAGAAAGACGTGGTCCAGGGCTCCGGGCGTGATTTCTCACGATGCTGCGCCCTTTTCGCGTCGTCGGGTCTCATGGGGAGGGAGGGAAGGAGGGAGGAGGTGGGAGGAGGGGGAGGACTGTACAGTCAAGCTGCATAGCAAGGATGAGCGACCTTCCGAGGTTACCCTTGCATCCTTCCCCTTCGACCCATCCCTGGCCGCTTTCGCTGGCCGCGCCCCGCCCGCAAAGTGTCGACATGACCTTCCAGGGCCCTTGCATCCCTACCGTGCGTCTTTATTCTACGGGTTGACTATAATTCTGAGGAGCAAGAAGTCTTGACTCGGAGAAGAAGTGACATGAACATAAGCTTTGGGAGCCTCGCGCGGCTTTCCTGGATCTGCGCTGGCCCCCCCTGGCGGCGCCTCTGGCGCCGTCCTTGGCGCGCTCCGCGCGCCAGGGAGGGGGTCCAGCGCCGATCCTAAAACTCCACGCGGATCTCCGACAGTTTATGCTCACGCAGTTTTTCTTCCTCCAGTGCTAGTATTGAGTCGGGCTTGTCCCTCTACAGGGGGAATGTTCAAAAATAGTCAAAAAATAACCTGGGGACGATTTTTTGAATTCCTTTGAATATTTTCGAATATTTTTGAGCATTTCTGGGGTATGTTTTTTTGGGGGGGTCGTCCAAATCCGCTTGTATTTAGGGAGACACGCCCGACCTAATTCTAGTGAGGCTTTTCACGATTCCGTAGTTTTCCTGGTCCACGTTCCACGAGGCTCCCTGGACGAGGGCCGCCAGAGACTCTGGGACTCCTTGCACGCATCCCGAGACCGTCGCACCAGGATGGCATTCCTGTATCCCACTACTAAGTCGGGCCTGTCCCTCTACAGGAGGAATATCCAAAAGTAGTCAAAAAATAATATGGGGACGATTTTCCAAGTGTTTTGTTTTGTGTCAATGTTTGAATTTCCCACATCCTGAGTGGGGTTCTTGTTTTCCCAGAACATCCTCTCCTCCTCCTCCTCCTCCTCCTCCTCTTCCTCCCGCTTCCTCCACCACCCCATACCGTATCATACCATACCAATACCATGCCACTCCATTCCATACCTTACCATACCATACCATGCATCCACCATCCCATACCATACCATGCCTCTCCACACCATACCTTACCATACCATACCACGGAACGCCGTATCATACCATGCCATGCCATACCATACAATACAATGCCATGTCATACCATGCCATGCCATATCATACAGTACAATGCCATATCATACCATACCATACCATGCCATGCTATACCACGTCACACCAACCATACCAATCCTTACCACACCATGCACAC